ACCAACGACGGGCATCTGGCACGCCCCAGCGGAGGACTGAGGATTAATTTCGACCACCTGGGGATCTTTTGACGTGCAACCGAAAGCTCGGTTACACGGCGCCTTCTCCGCAATAAGCCTCCGTCAAACCCTTCCATAACGCAGACGTGGACGAGTACGCCTGTACGAAGGGCGAACTTTAGGTCAAATTTTAGAATAAGGTAAACTGTATAGAGGCGATATATTTTTAGCATCAGATTTAGTGCAGAGGTTACGCAAGTCCCCGGCCATTTCAATGTCGTTCGAGTGTCTGTTTAGCGCAGTAGAGACTATTGTGAACAATGAAAAGAAGTCGCTCTTTCTAGAGAATATCAACGAACATCTTTGCCTCACGCAGCAAAAGTAATATTTTGTGAAAGATATCTGGTAGTGATCTTGATTAATTAATAATCCAAGTTGTACATTGCACCGTTTATCACAGATTCAGCAAAAAAAGGACTTCTTTTAATATTTTCCAATGAAATAAACGAGACCGATTAATCGATTAATTAATCAATTAAAGGGTGGCGATTAATCGGGTTAAAACTTTTAATCGACGCCCAGAGTGAATAGAGCTCCAAAAACTCTTCAGCGCCGGGAGCTGCTCCGCTTTCAAAGATCTTTGCAGGCAGAAGTGACCAAAGTAACGCAGCCCACACTCCCAGGCATAGCCAATGTTTCTTTCTTCAGTCGCTAGATGGCGCTAAACCAAACAGCATCGCAGGTTGCCTATTGCACAACATGGCAGCAGCCAGGGGGGGGGCACTTCTGCTTCGTGAACGGGATATCAGTTTGTCGCTCTACGCCCCTCTATACCTCGTTGCTACACCGATACACTTGGAGAAAAATAAAATCTAAAACCACAGTCACACCGACTGCTCATACACCACAAAAAAGAGACTGGTGTTCGCTGTGGACATAACGACGGAACTATCTGCGCTCACGCCTCAATTCATGCTCGAAGACTGTCTGCTTCGCATACATGATGTCATGCTTCAAACATGTTTACAGACATATTTTCGAATGACCAACGTGACAGGACTGCGCTATATAGGGCAGAAACATGCCACAGACATTGTCTGGAGCAAACGGTTCCAAACAAACAATAACCGCGGTTGCGTTTACGCACAATGGAGAATCTTACGAAAAACGTTCAGGGTAGTTTTCGACGACGGCGCGATTCCAGAGGTTATTCCACGAGTACATATAGATATATATTTGTCTTGTTTGGTGATTTGCTCTGCGGCATTCTTATAGGCCAACGCAGCAACAATATTGGTTGCGAAGCAACAGTAAGATGCTGGGGTATACTCGACCAATACCACATATAAGAAGACAAGGCCCATTGCCTCTCGCCTCCAAACGTCATCATTAGTTCGTCTGCTCCTCGCACAAGGGTTGCAAAGATGTCAGAACACTAAGCTCTTATTAGCTGACTTAAAAAAAGAAAAAGAAAAAAGAAATGGTGGGTAGACCTCAAAGCAAGCTGCCTTGAAGTCTACCCACTATCCTTCATTCAGAGCCAATCACAGCTCGGCGTCTTTTTCTGACGTCACCGCTACTCCTTCGCAAGAAACAGACGCACGATTTGCTCTAAGCATTGAACAAGCTCGCTCGCACACGTGCTTTAGTTTCAAAAGTCTTTCGCCGGTGTAGTGAATGCCGACAGATGCGTAGACTTCCTGAGCAACAGCTTGTTTCTATACTACCGAGGCGAATGCACCCTGCTTCCTGCAATACGAAGAACAAAGCCTGCATGGATGTTTGTCGCGTACTTCTACGAGTCTTTGCCCTAGCGAACTATCGGTGTACCTGTACTTCGAGCATTTGATGATTTCAACGACTAACCGGAAACATTACCCCGTCTATGCGGAGATCAAGTAGTCTGCTTCTTGATCGGGTGACGCCTAGCTCCGATTATGCATATATATATATATATATATATATATATATATATATATATATATATATATATATATATATATATATATATACATTGAAGTCTACTGACTGTCTTTTTTTCATTCATCCAATAAGAGTTTGGTGTTCTGACATCGTCGCAACCCATGTGCAAGACGTAGGCGATTTCGCGCTCAGCATATAAGCTCACCCATTTTGCGCTTCTTTAAAAAAAAAAAAAATCTCGACGCACCTCGAGTCCGCGGGCACTAAAAACGATATAGGAGCAGACGCGACCGATCAAACAGCGTCAAAAACGCGATGTCATGGTGTTCGTCGTGTTTGCGTATACGTGCTCTATCGTCGTTAAAGGGAAGGCCCAGTGACTTGCGTTTTTAGTATACGTGTTTGTGCTTTCTACCGCGCTCAGTCAAGACTTTAAACTAAGTGTGACGCTTTAATGCTTTCAGTTCGTTGATATAGGATACATTTAGGCAAAACGTTAGCTTGAGATTTGTACGGCGCATTTTCAAACCTAGCTCATTATCCCGGTGACGCGCAGGGAGCATTTCCATTCCGCGTAACACGAGCCCAAAATTCTTTTATCTGCTGATAACAGAGGCCTCTACCTTTCTCCCTTATCTCTCTTATCTGAGGTGACGGTTGCCGTTCCCTCTTCGCTTAATATGCTCGCCCTGAGACAACGAAGCGAGATAGCTCCGGAACCACGAGCAGCTTTGATATATGGTTCTGGGAAACCAAATGAAAAACGTAGATTTCCATTCGCATTTTGTGGGTATACCTAAGGTTGTCCGGCACGAGATAACACCTTTCCGACTATTGCAAAACCCTTATCTGCTGGGCTGGTGTCATCTAGGAACAGGGACGGCGTCAGCACTTTCCGTATATATGGAGAGGCAGTGAGAGATGCTAATGAACGATAGACAATGGCTGGATGAAGACGTGGTCGCTCTCAGCGCGCATGCCGGTTGGAGATTCTACATCGTGTTATCGAAAGCAGGCTCCGAGTGTCACAAGTGGTTGGACGACAAAGGGGAGACAATGAAAAGCACGCGGGGAGAGAGGCGTTAGGGTCTTTTTTGGTGGCAGGGTGACAGTTATTGGCGCTGTTACGGGTCGGAATGAAACGCCCGAACTACCTGGACGAGGATCCTCACAGTTCACTAGGCCTGGGCGATTGATCAATGAATTTACCTATTAATCGACGAATGCTTTAATCGCGATTCAATGATTTAACCGGTTAATCGTTAAAATTTTGACGAACCCCAAAAGCAAGTAAAAATTAAACGCTTTCACCAATAGACGTGGACGAGTATACATCTGTATGAAGGGCAAATTAAGGTGAACTTTTAGAATAATTAAGATACACCCGTAGGGGCGAGATTTAATTGTAACTCCGGACAAGCGCAGAAGGTCACACGTGTCCAGGCCATTTCAACGCCGTTCGACTGTTCGTTGAGCGCGGCAGAGATTATGAATTGTGAACAATCAAAAGAGGTCGCTCTTGCCGGAGAATTTCAACGAACATCTTTGCCTCGTTCACCTGAAGTAATAATGTGTAAGTGTCTTTCAGCTGTTCGTAACTACACATCGAGATAGATTCAATACCCGAGTTGTATAGACGCTTTGCAGCATGCAGCTGTGCATGGGCGCCGCCATAACCGATCCCGCTTTAGTGGCTCGGTATCTGGGAAAACCAGGAGAAGGTCAGCAATGGCGGCTGTAGTTTGGCGTGTGCGTAGAGCGTCTATATTGTGCCGTTTACCATATATTTAACCAAGGCAAAAAAAGAAATATTATTGTGGAAGATAAATGTGATGAGATGAATCCATTAATTAATCGATTAAAAGGTGGCGATTAATCCTGGTAAAAGTCTCAATCGACGCCCATCCCTGCTGTTAACTATCACCAAGATGTATTATGACGATTCTACCTTACCTCTGTCGAATATGGCTTGCTTGTAGGAAGCCCATGATACCACTCACAAATTGTGCCTCTTCTGTTGTCATGGTTTCATAGTCTGTCTTTGCGAATATATATATAGTAATTTTCTGAAAATTTCAATGGGAAAATGGCTGCCGACGGAGTTTCCAAACACATGGGGCTTTATGGCACCCGAAACCGAAAACGGGCAAAAATGGGTTCCATTTTCCCATTGAAATTTTCAGAAAATCACATAACTTTCGAATAAGGTATCATATCGGGCTGAAACTGAGACATCTGGTTGTTACCTCTAGCGCTACCTTTGGGCGGAGAATGAGCGTTCGGCGATGCCTAGTTTATTTTTGCGGTAAAAAAAAAAAAAAAAAAAAAAAAAAAAAAAAACTTGTAATTTTTTTGTCTATTTGTGACACCCTGTACGCGCTTTCGGAAGCGC